ACTAATGGAACAGCTTCATCTCAATAATCATTTTTTTCACTTAAGTAAAAACTAAAAATCAGGACTGAAAGGTTTATGCCAAATCTTCACCGGATTTCTCAGTTTCTCATTTTAAATTAAACATTTTTTGGGGCAAAGTGAGTTATCTGAAAATGCCAGGTTGAGCTCTAGAAAACTGGGACGGGCCTTTTACAATTTGTTTTTAGACTACATGACTAATTGTAAATATAATCCACTGATAAAGAGAATTTAAGTAATTGTTAGTTGCAGCCCTTTACAAAATAGAAAGATGATTTAGTAGCACTTATTATTTAGCTCCAGGGTGTCAGCTTGGTTTGATTCAGCTTCTGACAGTCTTTACCACTTCACCGTTACCTCACTCGCCTGGTTAAACTAAAAACTAAAATAAACTTCTTATGCAATATGGTTTCAAATCAAAAGAAAGCTCAATGCCGGTTATGACGACATGTTCACGTACCGTCAGATTGACTGAACTACAAAACACTGCTCACATCAGGTGTACTCTTTATATTCCTTATTAAGTTTCTTCTTTGCCGTGAACACGACCGACCAGCACCACTTAGATATGAAACTTTCCTTAAATCCACAGGAGCCCGTTCAGCAGCGTTCCCCCATGATCCAACTGTTCACGTGGGCGTGATTAAAAAAAAGCCAGAGTATGCTTAAGCTCTGGAACATCATCACAGAGGGCGATACAGTATCTCTGGATTGCGTAAGACCCGTCGGTTGTGCACGGACCGAGGCTTGTGATAAGAGGCTCCGTGCACAGGCCTCAGCCGCACAGTTAACAGGAGCCTTTTGAAAACAAAAATAGGCCGACTCCGAAAAATGACACAGACATGGCTCACCGTCAAACCGCCCTCTTATCATCACAGTCGAACACAGCCAGGTTTCATAACACAGCACACCCGGACACGAATATCTACCGATTACCTGACCTCTCTTTGTACAACTTGTACCGACTAAAGACTCGCAGACTGATTATAATCCTCTATCCTGCCTTGTTCTATTAAGAGTTGCACAATTATTAAAAGAAATCAGTACAACACATTACTACTACAACTCTGATTCAATTGTATCGGGTATCTGAAGCTAGGAACGCTGACAAAATATTTGTTTTATCTTGGTTAAAATGCTCAAATACCACTTTCTAGTACATTAGTCGACAGCTGATTTGCTTGTAGTACGGACACTTCAGAAACACAGATAAAAAGAAACACTATGAATTTAGACCAACTGTTGGTGACAAAACAGATTATTGTAAGAGGCTGCAAATAGGAAAGTTGAAGGTGTGACACCTTGTTATCAGACATGAGACAGCAGTGAAGGGTTGTCCATCCCAGGTCTCTACTGTACGTGGTAAAAATGTCCATAAAAAAAAAAAAAACATAAAAATCTTTCCAGTAATGAAGCACATGAGCAGCTAGAAATCCTCGGCCACCAGGTTTTTATCTTTGACGCAACATTATACTCGATGTCCGAACATTATCATCATTTTAATATTAACTGAAATCCACCAATCAGCTGGTTTGATGCTCTGGGCTGCAAGTCATGTTGATATTTGGGAGGTGTGTGTGTGTGTGTGTGCGCTCCTAATCGAGCATCTGCGACAGACATTAACAATAATTTAAGTAATGACATCATCTCTCTGTGTAGCTCTGTAGAGACATTAAAGCTCATTTCTGCAAAAGCATTATTGCAGCCTTTCAATCTGATTTACCAAATCTCTAAACTACGCATTTTTTTTTTTACACATTACTTTTAAGCAATAAAAAAATGCCTTTCTATGCATTTGTGATCCTTTCTAATTTTGTAGAAGAAGGTGCGAAATGTGCTCATGCATGAAATGTATGTAAAATATAATAAAATCCAACTTTTGCGAATCATAATACTCATTAAATGCGTCCCAGCGGAAGCCGTTTACGAGATAACACCAGTATATCAAAAAGCCAGATAAAAGAGCAAGTTCCTGATTTAAAAATACTTTGAATGTTAAAAGTACACGCTGCACCGCCTTCTTTGGCTGCTGCACATTAAAGCAACATGACCAACTGACTCAAAGCTACAGGTCTCAAAGAGGAACGCAGCAAGACCGCAGGAGCAAGGAGGCCGAGGCTGACAGATCATCCACTCCAACGCCAGGAATAACCCAAAGTAATTAACTGGGCTCTCACGTTCACTCGAGTGAAGAATACTGGAGGGTTTATGTAGGTTCTACCGCTGGTAGAAAAGTTGCTGACACAGTCATTTCACGGCTACAAGGTTGTTGAATTCATTATGGAGACGGGGGACATTGCTCTTAAAAAAAAGAATCTAAATTTCTCTTTGAGAGACTCGGATTAAATCAAACACAATGCGGCCTCAATTATAATAATCAAATAGTGTATGTTGGTGCATATTTGGTCTCACGGGACCCTCTTACATGTGAGAAAGGCTTGTAAAGGAAACAAAAACGTTGCACTTAATGGACACAATGTTGTTGTAACGTGTCATTTTGCCGTCTTTGAGATTTTGGCATCATTGGGAATCAAAACAAATCCAGTCTTTGCAGCCCTAGTCAAGCATGACGGACCTGTCTGTGCCCGTTGCTCTAATTCAATATACAACAATATTATGAGATGTCCATCATATGAGCGTCTCTATTAAACTCATAAATCATTGTATTTGTTTGGGTTGTGTCCTGTATTTGGTTGAAATTCCCACTCATAATATACAGTATCACTGGTTCCTTGGAAGATAAGCAAGACATTTCATTTAAAAACACACATATTAGCTCAAGCAGTTTTTTGTGCGAGCTGAAAGGTGCAGTCCAAACCACAACAAATGCATTCAAACTGAGCGGTGAAGTCCAATTACATCAAATCATCAACGATCATGTGTCAAACTAACCATCATTCAATCGAGCAGATGAGAAGATCAACGGACAAAAAGATGTCTGATCTTAAAGCAAACTGTCAAACAACAGAGCAAAAAAACAACTGTGGGAATTCTTCATCTTATACTTTTCACGTTACTGGAATTACTTGCAACAACCAGAAGATAAGCTCCGCTTACAGAAAGTGAAACCTGATTAAAAGAAAAGCTCACAGTTGCTGCCCACACAATGGGACTGATAAATGGTCTCTCAGAGGTGAAGTCCAGACACAGCACAGCTACCAGAACCCGTACTTGATTCCAAGTAAGATTTGGATTCTAGTAAATGTGACCAAACTTCCCCTCAATAATCAAAACACCGGTGAACAAGTCAACCTGGAGAAAAACGAATGCCATCAGTTCCACTATACTTGTTGTGTTGAGTTATTGTTTGTGTTTCCATGACTTATTCCCTAAAATCTTGTTTTTCGTCTTTTTATTTGAGGGAACTGCACATAAATCAACGTAAATGTAGACATTTACATAAACAGCTCTTTTGCACCCTAAAGTCCCAACACAAAAATCTTCTCACCGCCATTTGTGAAAGATATATGCAATCAAAAGATGTATCCATATCTAGTTAGTATTAATGAAACTGGATTAGTTAAGTACATATAGAGAAAGTCAGCTGTCACTATTGATTAATCGGCAGATACTTTTGATTGGTGTAGCGGTGTGAATTGCAAATAATGACGCCCATCACAAGTAACCAGAGAGCCAAGTGACGTCTTCAAATCATTCATTTTCTTAAATTTGAATTGCAGTAACATCCGAGTTCGTGCAGTTTTCAACGCTTATTGTAAAGTGTTATTGTCTCTTTTAAAGCTGAAGAAACATCAAACTCGTCTCCTTCCAACACTAGGGCTGTAATGGTGAACTGGTCCGCTTTTTTGTCCCATTTTGCAGACAGAAAGATGCTGAACAACCTGCTGTGCCTCGACACTGCAGACAGGCTGTGTGTCAACTCTCAGAAAAACAAGCTCAGAGGAGAAAGAAAAAGAACTACGCTGCTGCTGCTGTTTGACACAAGGACATTATATTATGTAACACAGCACAGTGTGCACATCTGAGGTAGACTACATTACCAAAGGTTAAAGGAACCGCAAGAGTTTGGTGTTTTTTGAGAGAGGAGAGTAGGATTGAGCTTAATACAAACTGAGATGCTGTTGAAATGGAATAAAGGGTTAATTATCACAGTTATGATAATCATGCAGTAGAATGGGGTAAAATGTCCTCTGATTTCATTTAGTATATGAAACACTACAGTCTGAGTGGGTCTCGCCTATAAATTCCTTCACATTGTGTAACAAGCCATCTGCTACTGAAACAAATGTACAGGGAAACAACCCTCGAGCTTCTCTTGCAAGTAGATTATCAGGCAAATATCACCAAATAAGTCGAAACATATATTAAAAAAGGCATGTTTAGGGGATAGAAACCAGCAGAAAGTCAATTAAAATCTACATTAAATGTAAATACTGTATAGCTACCATGTGTGGACATTTTATGATGAAGCAGTGAAGATTTAGTAGTGTTAGATTAGTATGAATCCTGCTGAAAAGCTATATATTCTACGGTGAAGTATTATTAAAAAGGCTCGATTGGGAGAGAAAAACCACCACAAAAGCGAAATTAAAATCACTGTAAATTCCACGTGGATGTTTGCACAAAGCCTGTTCAGTGCCTGTTGTAGAGATATTATTGACAAAAACACCAGATGTGTTCATTTATATACGCTGAGGATGCAACACAAACCTGAAGTAAAAGCGCCGCAAATGGCATGTTTATGAAGAAACAGTAACGTTACACTATTACGCTTGAAGCGTTACCTAAATACAATTTAAATTGACTTTAAGTCGGTCACTTTTTTTTTTTTTTTTTAATACAGCCCACCAAAAGTCAGCAGTGATTTAATGCATTTTCCTCGCGAACGGACGCTATCTTGATTAAACTAACATCGGTTTCACACAGCTGTTTGCAACAGGGCTAAAAGGAGAAGATGCGAACTCTATGCATTAAAGAAATAAAGCTAGGCTGGTAGACGGGGTGTTCGGGGACACACTCACCACACCATCCCGTAGGCTCCCTCTCCGATGTAGGAGAGGTTGCTGTACCGAGGCCCGACGTCGAAGGCCTGTCCGCGGACCAGCTCCGTTCCAGACACCGCAGCTGTCGCCATTTTTCTCTTACACGGCTATCAAATAAAAATAAAAAATAAAAAACAACAGCTAAGATTGGAAAACTAATATGCAAAAAAAAAAAAGAAGAAGAAAAAAAGTGTTTTTTTGTATATATCCGTCGTCGCTGTGAGTGCAACAGTTGTCGGTGTGAGCAGAGGCCTTCTTCTTCTTTCCGTTTACGTGCCTTCAGACCGACCACACCACCACCGCTGCTGAGCTGTCGCAGGCAGGAGCGAGGAGCGAGGAGCGGAGAGAGGTTTGATGCTGCAGGAAATAACGGAGGTGGTCACGTGATCCGGTGTTGCCTTCAGGTACTGCTTTCCACCCAGTAGCACACAAGCACAAACAGTGAGGTAGAATACATTTGTGGAGGAAGTATTCAAATCCTGTACTTAAGTAAACGTAGTACTACTAATACCAACCACACTGTGAAAATACCCCCCCTACGGTTTACACCAAGCAGGTGCATCATTTTATGTGCAGTCATAGGCAGTAATGATGTCACCTACAAAGCCCTTCTTGACCAAGCACCATGATATCTTAAGGAGATTATTTGCAGGGTTACTTGTCGTTCCCAGGTTTCTAGTTAAGCGTTGGCTCACGTTTCTAGTTAAGGACTAGCTCAGGTTTATAGTTAGGGCTGGCTTTGCCCGGGACCAGCCCCTAGATATGCTGCTATAGGCCCAGACTGCCGGGGGACATCCTAGGATACACTGAGCTCCTCTCTTATCTTCTCTCTCTCTGTCTGTATAAATCCCTGTCCCAACAATGCACATTACTAACTTTGCTTCTTCCAATTTAATTGATATAAAGTTATACCGTTTATGGCCTTCCCAAGTGATCTTCACAACCCAGCTTTGGCTTCTGCAACTGTAGAAGCTGCAGTCCTTCATGTCTGCAGATATCTAGCTGCCAGTAATTACCTTCCTTTGCTGAGATCAGCCAGAACAGGGCCCGGTTTCTCAATCTCAAGCGTTTTCGTGTTTTAACTTTTGACCGAGGCTTCCTAAAAAGATTAGGTCTAGAATTTAAATAGATTTAAATTGCTCTATTAGCTATTTGTCAATAGTTCTCCTCCTTTGCTGAGAACAGTCTGGACAAAGCCCTGCCTCTAATTTAAGTATTCTGACTGACAGTCGTCGCCTCCCTACCTCCCAAAAAAGATCTGAAGTTGAAGAAAAATCTGCATATAGTTAAGTCTATTAGACTATTTCGTAAAATATATATTATAAACAAATTGCAATGTTCATAAGATTACTTTGACTCAACATCTGTCAGGCCCATCAGTGCAAGGTGCTGATAATCCCTTTCACCATCCCATTTTGGACTCAACTTTTTTAGTTTACGTCCTCCAGAAAACAAGGAATATCCTATTATTATGGAGGAAAACTTAATCAAATAAATACAAAATAAAATAATATGTAACTATAAAAGACAAACAGACATCATCAAAAAAGGTAAAATACATTTTAGATAAGCAAAAGAGAATAAGTAAATTTAACAAGATAAGAAAGAAAAAATGTAAAATGTAAGAGAAAGAAATGGAAAGAAATGTGGAAAAACATATTGTGAAACAAGATGTTGTGAGTATTTATTACGTCATCCTGACCTCTAGGGGGCAGAGTAGGAACATTTACTAAGAGCTGAGTGAGAAAGAGGGAAGTACCTGAGTAAGGGTACATCCCAAGTCCCCGTTTCTCTCACTTGAGTCTTTTCCTTGCGAGGAGAGGAAACGAGGAAATATGTTTTAAGAGAAAAGAAACGTCCTTTCCTCTAAGCGTCACATGAAGCGGCCGTCTGTTTCTGATGACGGCGGCTCTAATCACAGCTGGATCAGATGTCAGTCGGCTTTAACAGCTGGAGAGACGTTTGAGAAGTTTGTCTGCACACATGATCACTGTACTTAATAATAGTAACTAATAATACCAAACACTAATAAAGACACACACAGTAATCATCACTGTAGAGGTGTTTTCTCTCTGTAGCCTGTAACCTCTCTAACAAACTACATTGAGTATTTATACACAGCCTGTGGTATTTATACTGTGTTCTGTAGTATTTATACTGTGTTCTGTGGTATTTATACTGTGTTCTGTGTCCTCCATATAAGTAGCCTACAGGACCGATGGAATGCGTTTGTCTTATTTATTAATTATTTGCGTCTGTACGTTTTGATTGATGATTATATACAAAAGTCCACCCAGAGTTGGGGACACACCGGCTCTGTACACTGAACTCATCAGACAATGCCTCCACAAAACAAAAACAAAACAATGAAAAGACAAATACCAACAAAAAAAATAAAATAATGCTGAGAACACCCAGTGAGCACCAACCGGGATTTGTTTAAAACTGGTTGAAATTGGGTCTGAACATCTAAGACATATAACATATTGATGGTTTCTTCAGTTGTAGGTTTGAAAGAGACACGATATTGGTTACTTTGAACGTATTTCTCCAAAGTCATATTACGCTGGCTGGGTGAAATGTGGTCTACACGAAGACGTGATTTCAACGCATTTAATGTTTTATATAAAATGTCATAAATATGGAACTATAGACTGTGTGCTGTCAACAAGAAGCTCCCAGGACATCGTAATGAGAGCAGAGTACAATATGTCTCTATGTTCTTGTAAAATACGAGTCTGTGTTTACTGCTGGAACACGCATGCGCAGGCACTTAGGCTCAGAGATCCTACTACAACTTTGAAACATGCAGCTGTATCTGGAAACTCGGCACGGGAGCGAAGTGAACGAGCTGACGGAATAAACGAGGCTTCACGCTAACGACATACTGTGTAAGTACTTTAACTACTGAATTACAATATTGCAAACCAAAATATCATGTTGTGCTCACCATGCGGTCGAAGCTGCTAGCTTGTAACGTTCGCATGTTAGCTTGTGGCTACAGCAGCATGGACAAACAGTAAACATACAGTTGGAGACTGTATTTATGGACTATCGCTGTAGCCCGACGTTATAAAATAGAGTATTTAGCAGTGGCGGCTGGCCAATAGAGAGTCATGGGGCGTGGCCCCACCTTGAGCCACAAAAAAAAGAAAATAATAAAAAATTATACAAATTGTCAATATTTGTGTTTTTGAAATATGGAATGTAACCAGTAATATTTGTAAATTATGATATCTGCGCAAAATATATGCTTTTCCTGTACGTCCTCACCCCCTGTCTGCACGTCTCAGCAGCGCTGGGGCCATAGAGAAATGGCCCACAAGAGGCGGGTCTACGAAGCAGTTTAGCCAATTGCTGATTAAAGACAACAAATGAGTGACATACAATATAGCCAATCAGCGTCCTCAAATAGATTCAGCTCGGGGCCAAAGTCCCAAGATGCGCGTTCTCGTCAGGAGAAGTCAGGCGAGCGCCAGCGCGAGCACTACTCTCCTCCAAGACCCGTTTGAGAGGAGAACTTTGGCGGAGAAACTACAGCTGTAAGAGCTGATCCCAGATCAGCCTGACCTCACAATCAGACAGCAGACTGGCGGGAAAGGGAAGCTTCTCTAGTAGCTCGACAGGCAGGTTTGGCTAGCTGGATGCAGTCATGCTAATAACTTATTTAGCTTTTTAAAACAACGGGGACAGATCTAGCACGGACAGTTAGGGAGTGAGGGACATGAAGCACCTGTCTGAGGAAGTAAGGAAACATGAGAACACCAGGGCAGACATGGAGAACTCTGTCAAGCTACATTTTAGGCAAAGTGAACATATTTTCTTTTAATTTGACATTTAATTGAGATGGTAAATTAACAGTGAAAACTCATCATAGCTTAAATTAACATCAGTATTCCTAATTTTTTCACTTCATGTTTACTTCTCCTGATCTTTGCCTCCCTATAATAAGGTCCGTAGGGGCATCTCAATAAATAAACATGTTTCATTATATTATATATATATATATATATATATATATATATTATACTAAAATTCCCTGTGAGGGTGACAAAAATATGATGTCCTGACGTGTTTATCAAAGTGTTATTTACTGCTTTATTTCGTGTTCGAATAATTGTTAAATATTTAACTGCAAAGTTGTAATGCGCGTTTGATACCTTCATTTTTTTGCATTAAATCCTACTGGGATGTTTGCTGAAATTGATTGGATGGCCCTACCTAGAAAATTTTCCACCAGCGGGTTAAAAGTGACTTTTTTCCCGTCGACTATTTGAAGACGTTGATTAAACGTTCACGTTTCGACCAGATTTCACTGGGATTTGCAATATTGGCTTTCAACTGATAAATGTGGATGAGGTTTGATTGGATGGCCCTACCTAGAAAATGTACCACCAGCCACCACTGGTATTAAGGACATTTCACGTTCAAAAACATTTCTACATTGAAAACACATTTAAAATACGGTAACGTTTAAAAGATGGTTCAAAGTGGTTCAAAAGTGACATTTTTTTCGTCCGTCGACTATTTGAAGACGTTGATTAAACGTTCACGTTTAGACCAGATTTCACTGGGATTTGCAATATTGGCTTTCAACGGATAAATGTGGATGAGGATTCTTAGTAAACCTCTAAAATGAAGATATACTATTAGCACAATGTAGAAGGCGAAAAATGTTAGTCTTGCAAATCCCGTTGAAATCTGGTCTAAATGGAAAAATGCTCAATGGGATGTCTTTGGATGTCTCGAAAATGAATCCAGAATTTTGAATCCGGCTTTATCCAAAATTCAGATTTGTATTCTGCCACATATTTATTAAGGTAATGCCTCGTTGCAAAACAATTTATTAGGGAATGTGCTAAAGTTCA